CCCCCCATCCATGTGCTCCTCAAACCCCAAACTCCAAGATGAGTCCAAGCCCCGGGACCCCTGCCCCCCACCACAGGACTTGAATTATGCATGGTGTGTTTCAGTGAGGAGGAGGATTCGCCGTGACCTACATAACCCCTGTAGCCCTGAGCATCACATGTGACCTCCATGCATGTGCAGATGCACATGTGCACACATCGGGTTCACATAAAAAAATAAGTAAACTGCACATGTCAGAAGGTTTCTGATGATGTCACAAATATGACCTGACTTCTGGGATGACCTAACGAGCTCGGACAAACACCGATTGTCTCGAGTCCGCCCGCAGCCCCCCCACCCCGTGAAGCTCCGGCCCATCAAGCCACATCAGAGAGCAGGGCATCTCATTCCTGCCCCCCCCCCCCCCCGATCGGGTGCGTGCCCAAGGATCAGACAAAGGAACGCGGTGGTGCTTGGCGTGGAAGGGCGCCCACAGAGCTGTCGCTTCGGCATGCGAAGCGCTCTCAGCCGCGCAGACAGCTCCGCAAATCCCAACCAGGCCGTCCCCGTTTTGTCACGCAGGACCCAAAGCAGCAGTCTGACGAAACCTCGGTCCATCTGCCCCCCGTGTGCAGGGAAATCTAACCAAAGTGGGAGCAATTATTCTCAGAGCGATGAGAAGGGAGCCCTCTGTGGGTGGGGAAAGACTGGCACACTTGATTAAAACATGAAGTGAATGACATTTTTTGTCCCAGAGGAGGAGCGAGGCGCAGCGGGACGGGGTTTACGCGGGGGACAGCTCGCAGTGTGACGACAAAGCGGACCTGTGATGCAAGGTGGCGGGTTAAAACTCTCAGGCCAACGCTTTCAAACAGAGAGCTGCAGAATAAACTGCCCTCATCGAGTACCTGTCTCCCAACCGTGGGTTCATCCAGGGGACAGGCTCAGAGAGCGTACCGTCTGCACCGGGCAGGAAAATGTGTCTTTGTTTAGACTTCACACATTTTTCACCTCTTTTTACTGAATCCCTCTGTTCTCCTCTTCATGCAGAGGGTGTGAAAATTATCTCACACACTGTTTGTTACACTCTGTGTGTTGTGTGAGACTCAGGCTGAGGAGCGGGCCAGCGGGGTGGAGGTGTGATGATGGAGGCCAGATTATAAGCTAAAGGGAACCACAGAGGGAGGGTGAAATCTGGATCTGCGCAGCAACAACTGCGTTAAGTTTGTGCAAACCTTCCCAGAGAGGAGAAGCTGTGATGTGACTCTGGGTCTAGTTGTAATCATCATTCAGTACTGAATACTAAATTTTACTTTAAGCTTCTTACTCTTTAGTAATTGAGACATTTTTGTTATGAAATAGTGAAATAATCATTAAAATAAAGGAACTCAGATAATTTATGCAACTATTGGTATGATTTTCCTTACGAACACCTGTGCAGCTACCTCCATCACAACTGTTACAGTGATTTTCACTGCAGGGGGGCCTTTTAAAAGGCATAATGCCCGTCAACAAAAAGGCCTCTGCCTCAGCCGTCACATGTTTATTTGGGAAGAATTACAGAGTCATTCATTTTGATTTAACCTCTTAAGCCCAGTTGGTTTTCTTGAGGTTTTTGCTTTATATACCATACTGAAATGTAATTGAGTGAATGTCAGCATTTACAACCTTTACTTAAATAATCTTTGCATCAAAATAGAGGGAACACTTGGGAGATTCTGTTAGAAGTGAAAGTAAGAAATCTTAAGATTTTAATTGCAAAAGTTTTTTTTTATTTTTTCTTACCTGACTGAAAAGACTTGTTATTAAATGTTTGTTCTTTTGAAAAATTATCCAAATATTTATTTACCTTATATATTATAT